GGTTTGAGTATAACCCAAAATCTCTTGTATGGCACTAAGATTTAGTTATATCATCCTGATGGTAGAGTGCACTTATCTCTATGTGGAAACTTCTATGGCAAGAGTGATGCACATGTGTCTGGGCATAACCTACTCGATAGAAGAGTCTGGTCTGGTCTACATGTAACCATTTCTAAGGCAAAGATTAAACTCGGTCTAAGTGTAGCTCCTTCCTGGGAGCTAGATCGAGTCATAACTGTCCCTGTTTGAGAGACTACACTGCTATATTTACATATTGTTTCTCATACTGTAGATTGTACAGTTAATTTTGGGTGTACCTTTCTCCATGCTAAGGATCCCTGGTGGCATTGTGGCTTCGGTACTGGGCTGTCCAAACCCACCAGCTGGTTCATGTGGGGGACATGAGGCTGCCAGCTCCCCAAAAGACTTACAATCTTGGAAACACTACAAAGGGTCGCTAAGAATTGGAATCAACTCAATGGTGGTTGCTGGGTCCCCTATGCTAAACATTTTTTATGCAGTTAGGTCTAGCTCATCTTCCACAACAACTCTACAGTTAGCTCTACATGTGAGCTTCTACATGGCAGTTAGGTCTATGTAGCATTGCCACAAATCCCTGCATCTCATAGTTGTTGAGTACAGGAGTACTTCCATCTGTGCTACAAAGGAGAGCCTTCTCTCCTCTAGCAAAAGACTGACATTGCTGAGAACCAGGTCTAGAGTCTCGTTATGTGAGTGGCTGAATTACAACGGGAGCTGAATTGCAGATCTAGAGCAGTGTCTGATACCAAAGTGATAGCATTGATTGGGAAAAGTTGGGACCCTGAAACGTGGGATGGGAACATATGGGCTGATGATCCAGAAGAGGAGGATATTGAGCCCTTAGAAACAATTGACCCACCCCAGTCAATAGATCCACCCCTCCCAGCTGAAAGTATTAATTCACAATCCACACCTGAGCAGATTAGCCAAACTATGCAAATTGATATGCCAGGTGGGGCTGCATCAGTAGCACTGCCTGAGAGAGATGCCTTACAAGATATTGCTAAGGGCACCCAGGAAACACCCTCACCACCCATTACTTCCACTAGACCTGTCACTAAAATTAATTCTCAGCAAGCTCCTAAAGGTGAGGTTGAGATGATTACCCAAGAAGAAGCGCGCTATACTCATAAAGATCTGCTCGAGTTTTCAAATACGTACAAGCAGAAGCCTGGGGAATACCCTGGGAATGGTTACTAAGGGTGTGGGATACTGGTGCACGAAATATAGTATTAGATCGGTCTGAGTTTCTGGATATGGGACCCCTAAGCACAGACTCTTCTTTCAATGTCTCTGTGAGAGAGGTTAAGAGAGGATATAATTCTTTGGTTGGTTTAATGAAGCACAGACTGCCAGATGGCCTAGATTGGACCAACTTGAAGTACCTGACCTACCATGGTACACTGTAGAGGAAGGCATCCAAAAGCTTAGAAATTGGTTTGTTGGAATGGATCTATCAGGATATTCCCATAGACCCAAAAAGGGGGTGTCCTGAGGACATACCCTTTACCACAACCATAAGGAACAAGTTTGTCAAGTGGGCCCCAGCATCTCTTAAGACTCCTATAATTGCTATTTTATGTGCACCAGGATTAACAGTGGGCACTGCCCTAAGCGAACTCCAACATTTGCCCACAATGGGGCTGATTGGTCCCCGTGGTGGTAGAGGGCAGGTGTCAGCACTGAATCAACAGAGACAGGGTGGGCATGGTTATAATAGACAACAAGGTTTCAGTAGTAACCAAAGCAACTTGTCTCGTGTGGAATTATGGCATTGGCTACTTAGCCATGGTGTCCCTAGGAATGAAATAGATGGGAAACCTACTAAATATTTACATGATCTATATAGGCGGAAGAATGGTAGATCAGGTGAACAGCAGAATAGACAGTCACGATCGGTCAATCAATTCCCAGACCTGAGCCAGTTTACAGAACCACAACCCCTTGAATGAGGGGGAGGCCGGGTCCCTTTGAAGGAGGACCCTGCTACATCAGTGAAGGTCTATACTGTTAGTCTTCCTTCTAGCCTTCTCCAAAAGGACCTGTGGCCTTTCACAAGAGTGACTGTTCATTGGGGGAAAGGAAATAATCAAACTTTTGGGGGATTACTGGACACTGGCTTAGAACTAACACTAGTTCCAGGAGACCAAAGTATTTCGAAGGCCCACCGGTCAGAGTGGGGGCTTATGGAGGTCAAGTTATCAATGGAGTTTTAG